ATATTCAGACCTGTATTTCTAAAACAATTACAAATTATATTATACAAATTGTAATGTGGAGATAAAGATACTTTCTCTTACAACTGAAAACCAATGGATTTCATAGTTTAAAGGGATCACAGAGCTTATTTTGTCCAACTTCTTGTACAAATAGCTGATGCATCCTCTCTACGATACCATCTACAAGTGATTATCTAGTTCTAGCCTCTACTTTACAATTTTCAGTGATGGAAAACTCATTACTTCATGAAGTACTCTAATTTTCAAATGAAGGTCAATATATCAACACTAAGTAACAATTCATGCTGATCATTATTTATGGCCAGAATGCTTCATGTCTGCTGAGGCGTGGAGGATTTCTGATCCATGTTGGTGGAAGAATTTCTCTCAGGGATAAAATCACAAGTTATTTTCACTTTGGTAATAAAGGGTCATTAGTCTCTCTATCTGTTTGTGGATATAATACCCATAATTTCAGACACCAATGTTGTCAGCAGACAGATATCCTTTCCCTCTCCTCAAACCCAGGTGAGCACTGAGACTAGTGTGATTGGGTGCTAAATGAGACAACCAGCTATGCTGCTAATAAAGAGTCATGGGGATAAGGTCCCAGGGATTTATAAAACTGGTAAATATTCTTGCCACAACTAACCAGCAGATTCTTTTGTTCCTGGTAGTGGTGAACCACTTGCTCTGAGTTCTGCCTAGAATTCTTTCTGCTTGCTTTGTTTTAGGAAAGAAAGGTTCCAAGGTTCCTAGGCTGTATTCTCATGATGAATTTCCCCTTATCCAAAGGAGACAAATGGTTGCAGAAGAGGTGGAGTCTTTGGTGAATGCATCTGAGATCAGCAAAGAGCAGTCAGGTAAGGGATAAGAACGTAGGAATGGAAGAGTCCACAAATAGACTGACAGAGTGGCAAATGTATCTCTAACAATTAGAACTTCTGGACAATGGAATGGCATACCTTGGGGAAATGGTCATTGTAAGGTACAGGTCTGATCATAGCATTCCCTAGTTCCAAACATAAGTGGTTCCTTGTTGCCTCTGTGATTAAATACAATCTAGCCTGGTATTTAAGGCTCACTCTTACATGATTCTACCTACCTTGGATAAAGACAGAGATCATGCTTATCAAATCTGCTGATAACATGAAACTGTATCAGAGAATCAAGATCTGAAGAGAATCTGACAGGTTAGAATATTAGCTTGAATCTGATAAGTTTCAGTTGGTGTAATGTAGAGTTTTACATCTGGGTAGAGAAAATCAGTTTCACAAAGACAAAATAGGGGAGGCAGGATTAGGTAAGAAATACAGGGGTTTACTGAATTGCCAGATCAATAAAGAGTCATCAGTATGATGTGGCAGTCAAAAAAGGGAATTCAATATTGGGTTGCATTAATAGAGGGTTGACTGCTAAGAATGAGGTGCCATACTTTTCTCTGAGTAGCGTTCTCAGTTCTGAGTGCTGAAATTTAAGATGGACATTGATAAGCTGAAGAACAATCAAAGAAGGTAACCAGAATGGTAAAGGGCCAGGAATCTAGGCACTATGAGAACTGAGACAGGAGGGAAGGGAATAATCCCAGGCACTGTATTATGTACTTCTATAAATATTATTTATTTAATCCTCACAACCCTATGAGTGAGGTGCTACTATTATCTCCATTTTACAGTTAAGGAAATTGAGGGAGACAAAGAGGTAAAATGACTTGCCCAGGGTCACATAGCTAGTTAGCATATAAGGATGGCTTTGAACTCAGATCTTCCTTACCAGTGTTCTAACCATTGGACCTCAAGAAACCAGGTCTGAGTGAAGAAACTAGAATTTTAACCTGAAAAAGAAAATACTTGGAGGGGAGGGGGGCAGATGAAGGTGGATGCAATAGCTATTTTTAAGGACTGTCATGCAGAAGAAGCATTAGACTCTTCATGTTTGGTCCAGCAGCAAAATCAGGGACAATAGGAATTGTTAAGAAGAAAATATAGTATTGATGTCAGAAAAACTTCCTTATCCATTAAGATACCTATAAGTGGAATAGGCTTCCTCGTGAGCTATCAGCCTCCTTCTCATTGGAAGTATTCCAACGGAGATTAGATGACCGCTTATCAGGTATCTCTAGTGAGGATTCTTTTTGGGATATAGGTTGGTCTAGATAAACACTGAGGTCCCTTACTATTCTAAAATTTTGTGATTCTGAGATACATTATAAATGTTTCACGGTTACTCCCCTTCATGTATTCTACCTTTTAGTCAAATAATTATAGGCTCTTCTCCAAAATCAACATGCCAACTCCTTCCTCCATCACTTTTCATAGGCCATCTTCATTCCTGGAATGCATTCTCTCTGCATCTCTGCCTTTTGAGTGTTCTGATCTTCCTTCAGCATTTGGGTCAGGAACTACCTACTCTCAGAAGCCTTCCTTGATCACCTCAGTTTTTAGTGTTCCATATACTTACAAGACTTCACCTGATTTCTCATTTGCACCTCTCATTTTCTATTTTGTATGATACTTCTAGATTTACATGTCATATCTTCCCTTAGAATGGAAGCCCCTTGAGGACAGGTCCTATAATAGATAAATAGGTAGGTAGATAGATTGATAAATAGATAGATAGATAGATAGATGATAGATAGATGATAGATAGATAGATAGACAGACAGATTTTTGGCTTTAGTGCCTGGCACAGTCCCTTCCATATGCTTAGTATTTGTTGCGTTTATTGAATTGCACAAGATCAAGCAAAACATAAACTTTGTCCTAGTTTCTTAAAAAAAATGCAAAGAAGGTTAATTATTGAAATCCTAGACTGATGAACTTGATGTCAGATGTCATTATCAGGATTCCAAAAGATCTTGACAGTCTGAACCAAGGGGCCAAATTTAACAACATGAAATGAAATAGAAATAAAATGTGAGCTATTACAACTTGGGTTTTTTTTTAATCTTTGTACAAATTACAAGAGGAGAAAGATGTTGACTCAATAGCAGGCTGTGGGACATGGAGGAGGGCCCTGAATATTTTTGGGGAAAGCAATTTTATTATGCGTTGGCTGTGATATCACAACCAGGTACAGTGTCCAGAGCAAGGAAGATGTTAATTTCACTAGACTCTATCCTGGGCAGAATATATCTGGTATGTCATATTCAGCTGGGGTATGACATTTTAGGAAGGATATTGATAAGCTGAAAAATGTCTAGAAAAACGTGATGCATGACCATGATACTAAAGCTGCTCAAAACTATGCCATACGCAAATCATTGTACAGAACTGCAGATGTTTAGCCTGGAGAAGAGAAAACATAGAGAAGATTTCAGCTTAATGCAAGGAGGAACTTTCTAAGAATTAGAAATGTCTAAAAATGAATTAGTCTGCCTTGTGATATAATGTTTCCCACCACTGATGATGTTAAGTTAGATTATCCCCTCATTTGGGGATTGCAAAACTATTTCATACATCTGGCAGAGATTGACCCTAGGCACTCTCGGGTCCTTGGGAACCTTGAAATCCTATGATTTGGGTTTCCATGAGACAATTTAGCCATTTTCAAAGATTAAACAACAACAACAACAACAAAAGAAATTAGCCCAAGGTTTGGGGTGGGGATGGATGGGGGCAGTAAATAACTTGTTTCAATTTATACAATTACTTTCTTGAAATGCCAGATCAAGAACCTTTGTCACCTGATTTATTCTTTACTTCCACCTCTCCCTGTGCCTTACCCTAAATTTATTCTTGACTCTCACCATGACCTTCAGTCCTTTAAACCCTCAGTCCTTTCTCAGACATCACAGCTGTTCTGGCCATACTTGACTTCCTTCCCTGCCTCTCACAAGGTCAGCTCTACACTCTCCTGTACTCCCAATCCCCTTCCTGCCTTCTCCTATTGCTTTTCGTTCCTTGTTCAACCCCAACCCTGAATTACTCCTACCATCCATCTCCTCCACTCCTACTCGTGCTGCTGCTGAGTAAACAGAATCACACTGATTGGGTCCACTATAAATGTAAATTCTTAAATCCTAGGTCTTAACTTTAGCAAGGCAATAATTTAACCTAACTAATCATCTTAACCCAATCACATTAGTGTTTATTCCAAACCTTGCCTTCTCTCCTCAAGCCTTCCACAGCACCCTCTTCCCCTACCCTATTAGCTGGGGACTTTTTCATCATACATGACATACTATGTCATACTATGACAGTCAAGGCCATTCATGATGAACTCCCTCTTAATGCCTTGTCATCTCACAGCTTCTTGATATCTTCCACAACAATCTCTTCCTTTCTTCTAATGTAGAACTTTTCCTCCAACAGGGTCCTAATTGATGCTCTATCTCATTCATTAAAAATGGTTAAGTGACTTTCCCAGGGTCATACAGCCTACAAGTATCTGAGGCTGTATTTGAACTCAGGCCCCATGCTCTATCCACTGCATCACCTAGTTGCCCCCATTTTTTATTTTACTTCATTGTTTATGGTTGTTATTGTTCACTCATTCATTCATGTCTGAATCTTTGTGACTCTCTAGACCATACTGTTCATGTTTTGTTTTGTTTTTTACTTTTTTTGGCAAAGGTACTGGAGTGGTTTGCCATTTCCTTCTCCTGTGGATTAAGGCAAACAGAGGTAAAATGACTTGCCCAGGGTCACACAGCTAGGAAGTGTCTGAGGCTAGATTTGGACTCAGGTTTCCCTCCCTGGGTCTTTCAAACCCAGTGTTCTATCCACTGATAAACCTAGCTGTCCCCTCCTCCCTCTCCTCCACACACATAGTAGGGTCTAAAGTGGGTGGCCACTCACAAGCAAAAGAGTTGTTTCACTGAGCCTATGAATTGTTTTGCTGACCAAAACTAAATAAAGAAATAAAGTCCTTGAAACTTTGGTATTTCACTATTTGGTCCAACATATTTAAAAATGAATATTGATTGATGCAACTTAATGTACTTAAGGAACTCTTCATTTATTTTCTTTAGGTCTTTTGTTGCTTCATGGTGTGTCAATGACATGGGGCAGGGAAATCAGTCTACTGTCTCTGAATTTCTCCTCCGGGGTATCTCCCATTGGCCAGAGCACGAGCAGATTCTTTTTGGGCTCTTTCTATTCATGTACCTGGTGATTATGGTTGGGAACCTGCTTATCTTTCTGGCCATCATCTTTGAAGCCCGTCTCCACACCCCCATGTATTTTTTCCTGGCCTGTCTCTCTTTAGCTGATATTGGCTTATCTTCTACCACTGTCCTGAAGATGCTAGTGAATATGTACACTCAATGTCACACTATTTCCTACATAGGGTGCCTAACACAGCTGTATTTTTTCCTGACTTTTGGTGATCTAGACAGCTTTCTGCTGGCTGTGATGGCATATGACCGGTATGTGGCCATCTGTCACCCTCTCCACTATACCAGGGCCATGAACCCCAAGCTCTGTATCCTTCTTGTGAGTGTGTGTTGGGTTCTTACTAATCTTGTTGCCCTGACTCACACCCTCCTTATGGCCCATCTCTCCTTTTGTATGATAGGAGAAGTGTCTCAGTTTTTCTGTGATATTGGCCCCCTTCTCAAGCTGTCCTGCTCTGACACTCACATCAATGAGTTGATGGTTTTTGCTGTTGGTGGCCCAGTTATGACAATCCCTTTCCTATGTATTGTGGCCTCCTACATTCACATTGTCTTAGCCATCCTCAGAATCCCATCAGGGAGTGGGGGAAGGCGCAAAGCCTTCTCTACCTGTGGATCCCACCTCTCTGTAGTTTGCGTGTTCTATGGAACAGTTTTGAGTGCTTATTTCTGTCCCTCATCAGTATACTCTACTGAGGAGGCAGCATCATCTGTGGTCTACACAGTAGTCACTCCAATGCTGAACCCTTTCCTTTATAGCCTTAGGAATCGGGATATGAAGGCAGCCTTAGTAAGCCTTCTAAAAGGTAGGCTATTTATCTCCCAGGCTCAGTGATCATTGCCCCATCCCACATGTCTCAAAACACACACACACACACACACACACACACACACACACACACACACACGCACATGTGTGTTTATATATATATGTATATATATGTATGTATATTTATATATATATGTATATATGTGCGTGTGTGTGTGCGTGTGTGTATATACCTAACATTAAACATCAATACAATTGGCTCAATATTTTTACAACTATTTACATTTTCGTTCATTAATTTTAATTTTTAAGATGTCAACACTTTTCCCCTCATCCCTTCTAAGTCTCCATCAGGCTCTTGGTCTATTCCTTGTTCTTTATTTTTCCTCTTCTATCATCAGAGTAAATACATAGTCTGTTCTTCTGGCTCTATGCATTTTTGCATAATAGTCTTTCCAAATTTCTTTATATTCCTCATACATAACAGTTTTTAAACTATTATATTCCATTACATGAAGGCACTATAATTTATTTAATTATTCTTCAATTGTTGGATATTAATATTCCTTCTTGGAGTGGAGAGTTTTTTTTCTTTGGAGAGTGGACAATTACAAGTGATGCTACTATGAAAATATTTGAAATAATGAATTTTGTGTGTATATTTTTTGATAACCTTTTCAAAGTGCATCCCTAAATGAAATTATTGGCTCAAAGGGTGTGGTTGTTTCTAACTTTTACTGTGAACTGCCCAGTAGCACTAATTTTTTTCTAGTTGGCAATTCCATCAACAATGAATGTCTGTATTTATTTCTCCACAACCCCACTATAAGAGGTTTCATTGATTTTAAATATCTTCATCAATATGGTACCTCAGAGTTTTTATGATTGGTGTCTCTGATTATTAGTGAGGTTGTTCTTTTATCAAGTGATTATATAATAATTAGTCTTCCTCTTTTGAAAAGAATTTGTTCATATCCCTTGGTCATTTAGTCATTGTAGACTAGTAGTTACTGATGTAAAAGTTTAACACATACATGTGTTAGATGCTAAGTTTTATGTCATACACCTTTTCTTATGTATAGATTTTCATTTTAACATACTCAAGCCTGTCTAACCAATCCTAATAAATACTTTTTGTTGAACAGAAAAAAATCTCCCCTCTACAATTAATGAAAGTACATCATGTTATTTTTTTCCATAGTCCCCTCATCCATTATTCTATCGTCTAGCTGGAATTTCCTGAGATATATGGTGAGTTATAGCTATAAATTCATTTTCATCCAATTGCTGCTCATTTTCCCAAAGTATACTTGTTAACTTTGAGACGTATTCCAATTCAATGTTTTAATTAAATGATTAATTCTTTATTCAGATTTTATTCTCTTTGAGTTCACCAAACCATAATCTTTGAAATAGATTTGGTTTGAAATCTGGCATATTTACTCTATTCCATTAATTTATTTTTTTAAACCAGTACCAAAAAGTTTTGATGATAAATTCTTTGCAATATGTTTTAATGTTTGGGACTATAAAACCATCTTTATCATCTTTTCTTTTTCCAGCATAACTCTTGATGTTCTTGCCTATCAATTTTTTCCACATAAACTTCATCATGATTTTAACTAGCTCCACAAAGAAACCCCTTTGTATTTTGATTTGCCCAGGTTTTTTGTCTAGGTTATGAAAATTCCCAATTAATCTTAATTTATCAGTTGTGCTTGACTTGTGTACAGCCCCATCATATTGAGATTCTCATCTCTTTCCCAAGTTTGTATGACCCTGAATGGACTCACCTTAGAGGTTAGAACACATTTATTGAATGCAAACAGAAATAAGTGATATAATAGTGAATCTACCACGTGGATGAGCCATACCTAGAAAGATCTGAAATCTCATCTTCCTATAATTTCTCTTACCCTCTTCTGCAACATCTTTAATGGCTCTTTCAGGGGAAGGGAGGCAACACACCCAAGGATCTTGGTAAAAAAAAAAATTCAATTGTCTTTTCCCACTTCCATATGATAGTCATGGGGAGGGGAGGTGTAATTCTTCACTGAACCAATCATCAAGCATTTGTTAAGTGCCTACTATGTGCCAGGCAAGTGCTAGGTTCTACAGACACAAAACCAAAAATGAAACAGTTCTGGCTCTGGAGCAACTCACATTGTAGTGAGAGAAACAACATGCACATACACAAGTATATACAAAATATACACCATTAATAGGGGGTAAACATTGGCAAATGGTGAGAGCCCATCACATTAAATACTTCTGCACTTTGTTCACTTCCACGGAAACAGGTGGGAACATTACAAGAATATAGAGTTTTGGTATGACGTAGCCAACCCTGAGTAGCCCTTTGCAGGAGAGAAGGTTGCTGCACCACTTAAAAATGAAAGACAACTTCCATCTCAGGATATTTCTTCAACTCTCCCATGTAGCAAGAAGTTCTCCTTCGCTAGGTTTCCCATGAAGAGTCAGTGGGGAGCTATAGTTTCCCCATGTTGGCAGTATGGCAGATGTGAGCACATAACAGAGGGGACATGTCCTGCCTAGGTAGCCCTGAGATTGGGTCTTGAGCTGCCTCTTCTGTTTCATCTCTTTCCTGAGTTTCATTATATTATCATTGATCCTGAGATGCAATCTTGTGAATTTGAAGAGTTGAGAGTTCCTGGACCCTTAGTCAATACTGGCTGCACTTAATAGGGAACTCCCAGCATTACTACAGTTTTTCTTGGAAAAGATAGCTACCAGAAAGAGGATGAGCCCAAGACCTGGCTTGGTTTTCTGAAGAAATGGGCCTTAAGAAATATAATACAGAACCAAGTCAAAAAATAAATGCTTATTCAGCAGTTCCATAAACTGCCTTATGTTTGGTGTTTAAAGTATCAATAATATTGAGAGAGTATGACAGTAGTTATATTATTGTGTGTCTAAGTCTTTTTTCACTGAGCTTGAAATTCTCTTATGTTAAGCATTTCTATTTGGTAGAAGAAATAAATAGTTGTCCTATATATGATCTGCATTGAGTACCTTTCTACTTCTCTCTTTGGGGAAACCCTAGACAAATCAGAAATAAATTCTAAGTGATTATCCTCCTCATGCTCCAGGGTGGGGCACAAAATACCAAACTATATAAGAGAAAAATATTGATCCCTTTTTTCCAGGGCTAGACTTCTGTAAGATTGAATAATATCCATGCTCTTGGGTCTAGATGACAGGAGTCCCTTATAGGAGAAGAAGATGGTAAGTAAGAGGACTCTAGTCCCCTGGAAGTAGCAACAGTCCATATTCTTTACACTCAACATTAATGCAATGTAATGGGGGCACTAGCAACTAGGTGAATCAGGAAAGATTTCAAGTTTAATGAAAGGTGATGTTTGAGTTGTGTTTTGAAAAAAGCCCCCCAATAATTCTAAGGCCAAAGTAAGGAGGAAGTGTATCCCAGACATGGGGGGGGCGGGGCCTATACAAAGACAGATCAGATTCCAGTGATTTTCTAGCCAAAATTCCTAGAGGCAACTGAGTTCCACAAAGCAATTAGCATCCCTTAACTGTCAGAGAGAAGCATGATCAGCACACCTGAAGGCCAGCCCACTTTTCTCAGCTGCAGCTAATCATAAGGCTTTTCTACTACCTCAACCCTTGCCCTCCTTTTGGGTCTTTTCAATCCCTTTGCAGTCGCTGACCCACTGAGGGGAGGCATTCTGACCCAATTTATTAAGTTATAATGCCACTGTTAATAAACTGTTATCTTGCCTGGAAAATTTGCCTCAGTTTATTTGTTGCATTTTTACTCACCACAGTCCAATATCTCAACTTTCACAAACCCTAGAAAATAGGTGCTCAGTTAATCCTCTTGGAAGGTGAAAGAAAAAGGGAAAAGATGAAAAAGAGAAAAGGAGATGGGAAGGAGGAAGAGACTTTTAAAATGACTATTTAGAAAGGTTAGGTTGATTTAGCTGGGTTCTGAATTTCATACCAGGCTCTGACTTTGGCTCTAGGACTTCAGTTCCTGTTGAGCTATAGTCTTGTCTCTGAACTCTAGGGTGGGTTGGGTTCTGGAGGGACTTCACTGAGCTAGAAGCAATATGGCATACTAGATAGAGTATAAGAGTTGAAATAAGAAAGCTCTGGGTTCATATTTCCCCTCAGGTACTTACTAGCTATATGGAAAGTCACTTAACCTCTCATAGCCCCAGGTCCGCATCTGTGAAATGAGGGGTTAGGACTAAAAGGTGTCTAGAATCCTATCCAGCTCAGAATCTATGCTTCTATGATCTGTGATCCTTTGAACTGATCAGGAATCTCCTTGGTTATTACTGCTAGCTCCTTGACTTCACAGCTTTTATTATATTAAAAGATGTAGGGGGCAGCTAGGAAACATTCTGGGATTTTAAAAAATACAAATGATGTATAGACAAACACACTTCATCAGAAATGGGAAAAATACTAAGATTTTATTTTATCCTAGATCCACCCTCAGAAAATGCCGGGAGCATCCTAGAATAAGTTGCAGTGTTTCTGTGATGCCTTTCTGTGAGAGAGATATCTGTGCAGTAGTTGAAAGCCCATCACTGTCTCCTTTGCTAACGACACCCCAAGGGAATTCAACTCCTTGGGGCCCGAAATTTCCTTATCTCTACTGCTAATTAACCACTTGTGGCTGTTCTTTATATCCTATTGGACAAACTAAGGATGAAATTGCAGCACTTCCACAAAGTGGATCTTGTCCTGGAAGCTTGTTTTGGCAACAAATCCCCTGACAGCCTAGGGTCTCCCAAAGCAAAAGAGATTTCTCAGTAATATATTTATTGACTTTCCCAATTTAACAAATGTGAGAACATAAGAAATATCCCTAGGGTCAAATCATGCGTTCATTTCATCCAGAAACCAAGGGCCGTGTTGTAGGAGACTAACCCTGTCTCTAATGTCGTCAACTTCATTAATTTCAGGAATACGCCTCAAAACATCCTTAGCTTCTTTTAAAATTTCCTAGGCTATTTAGCTGAAGTATATCAAAATCATGGAATCCTTTAATCATTAAAGTTTCAGAATCAGAGACC